CCCTCCCCCCTCCTCCACCCCAACCACCCGCCTCACTTTCTCGCACAATAATGTACGAGTGGTCCGGTATTCTTCAATCTTCCCGAAAGAAGAACCTACAGAAACTTGAGAAACCCCTGCGCCAGTTCTCCAATGACAATGTTTGCAAACTTCATCAGCGCGGCGTAGAGCCAAGTTTTGCGTTGAAAAGTTGTGTTGTGATTTGTCCACTTACCATGCCAGATTTTTCTGCTACTGATACAAAAAGAAATGATAGATCTATTTGCGTTTTATTATCACTTAAATCTTAGGCCAAACGAACATATAATTGTACTGACAGCACCCATTGCTATTTTACTTACAGCTTTAAAACCCTTTAGTTCCAAAGATGATAATCTAAATGAATCAAAATGAAGGGAAAAGTAGTAATCTATGACTAAATTGAAAACAACTATCAAATATAAAAATTACCAAATCTCTTGTTCATTTTAGATTCAATGTTTGACAATAGAATTTTATTCCACAGAACTTATATATTAATTAAGACCGTAGAAACTCTCAACACCGTAAGTATACTGAAAACAGCTTTATGTCATATTTTAATAGTAACCTATTTTTTAGCACCTCAAGTGACATAATTATATAGGCCTACTGCTTGTGCAGTTGGCATTCACCTTTTGCTTTTGCCTTTGCATCGTCACATCTCGTATACAAAGCAAGGATAATCTGTAGGTGTGAAATATGTTGGTAAGGTTTTGTCCTGTTTAGATCTAAGCTACTTTTAGGCTTAAAATCGCAGGCCTCCCTTTGAATCAGCAGCGGGTCATCTTCAATCCCTGGTCTTCCCCTTTCGATTAACATGTATGCATAGTGGAGCCAAACCGGCATGTAAATAATAAACAGTTAAATTTATTGACCCGGAAATTATTACTTAAAACTCAATCACTTAAAAAATGAATATTTAACTTAACGAAATAAACAATGTAGTAACGACGAGCCAACGGTAGTTATAATCATTGAGCCAGCCAAGTACATGTATTACATTAATTTTTGTATTATTATCATGTACATGTACGTTAGTGGAAACAATAAATAAATAAAATATTTAAAAGAAAATACAATGAAACAAAATAAAATGATATAAAAGGGGGAAAAACATTTTTTAAACACAATATAAAATAAAATGAAATAAAATTAGATTTTAAAAAATAAAAATAAAGTAAAACAATAAACCACGCTCAAATTTGTATAGATCTAGATAATCTAGTTCTCCGCCAATGAAAAGACGGTATTTCATCATCAATCTTTCTGCAAACTGCAAAGCATTCGAACACATGGGTGTCAATTTTGAACCTGCCGACCTCACATTCCGACCGCTCGAGGGACTTCCCTTTGCACGGCAATTCTCTAGCTCCAGATTATCGGATATACAAACAACTCACACTGTTGTAATGAAGAAAGTCTAAACTTTTTCAAAGTGTTCAACGTTTGGTGTTTTATAGCAAAATAGCAAAGAAATATAGATCTGAATTACCCACAGTTTACCGAAATCACGCGCTCGGACGGCCGCGAGTTAGCGTATTTACAACCTAATTATACGTTTACAATAGCACCATAACCTCACGAAAGCACACACACACACACACACACACACACACACACACACACACACACACAGAGAGAGAGAGAGAGAGAGAGAGAGAGAGAGAGAGAGAGAGAGAGAGAGAGAGAGGGGGGGGGGGGGGGAGGCTCTCGTGGCCTAGAGGTTAAAGTGTGCGACTGTCATTCAAAAGGTCTCGGGTTCGAATCCGGGTAGCGACCGACAAATTTTCTTCTCTAAATTTGTCTCCTTTCACCTCATTTCCTGCTCTCTAGCAATGTTCTGTCGTCTGCTTTCGCCTCCTCTTTCTGCCCCCACCCCCACCTCCTTTGTCCCTTCCTCTGGGCTCCTGATTCTTTCTGCAGCCTTTCTACTGCTACTCCTTCGCTTTTTCTTACTGCTGTCTTTCAACCACACCCCTGATCTTCTGGTAGGAAAGATCTACACCTAGCCTTCTCGGACAAACGCGAAAAATCTCGTAGGGCCCGTGTGCAAGTTGCGCACGTTAAAGATCCCTTGGTGGTCTAAAATCGATAAGAATAGGCTTCGGCCGCCACCCGGGCAAAATTAAAAATTTCCTACCAACTGAAAATATTAGGTGTGTCCCGCGCGATCACATGACCTTATGCAGTTGCGAGCGCCGTAAAACACTTTACAAAAACAAAACACACACACACACACACACACACACACACACACACACACACACACACACACACACACGTACACATACAAACACACCAACACACATACCGCCTCAGTGGCTTCTTGCCAAAGAGTCCACATTGAGAGATCTAGAGGAAGGTTAATTAATCTTTTAAAAGCTCTAAAACACAATAAAAATGAATTTTTAAAGTCAATCCAAGCGTAAAACTGAAAGATCAAAAGACGATAACAGCTAGCAGGGCACGCCCACACAGTCAGCTGTTTTCGTAAACAAGCTTGAAGTGAGCTAGAAGTTACCTTTTTTACTCCTTTATTCATCAGAGTTATTTACATTTCTGACCATTCAAGCTCGAAAAGGGGTCAAAATCTTAAAATAGTTGCGAATGAAGAACGTTGAAGCAAAGATACTCCACTAGTGGAGAATCTTTGGTTGAAGCAAAGGTGGCCATTAAATAATCTCACAGCTACACACTAGAAAGGTTCTAATTCCTTTATCTCGTCATCCAAGCTCACAACAAACCACACGTCACACCTCCAAAATAAACATTAACAAAAATATTTATAGTCGATTATAGTAGTTTATTTTTATATTAAATAAAGCATAAGAGATCAAACTTTCAATAGATCCAAAAAACAAAAATTTAATGGAAAGTCACTTTTTTGTCTTTCGAGCCTCGAAGCTGATAATGGCACACTGCGTCTTATGACTGATTTTGAACGGGGGAGACAGATATAGCTTATACTTTAATTTATGTACTCAGACTCCACTAAAAGCTCGTGAAAATGCGTGCACGAGTGCGGACGTACACAGGCCTACATACATGCACACACAACACTCAGACATACACACAAAAATAATGTATACACGAGCAAGTGAGCGCCCACATATTATAGATCAGAATATATAATGATATAAGCACACACAACTGTAACGTAACACAAAAACATACAAACACACTAGCACAAGCGAGCACATTATATAGGCCTGCCTGTTTACTTAGGACTGAGCTGAAGATGGAGGACAGGGGACGGAATAAACCTGACCAGTTCAAATAAAGGCCACTGTGTTTTAAAAAAAAAAAAAAGAAGAAAAAAAGACAGAAAGAACAAAAGAAAAAGGCGTTATTAGAGGATGGAAATGTGTTGTGCTTCCATTCAGTGAATTAGATCTATATTTAAAAAATAAATACCGGTACCCGGTAATAGAAATAGTGGCTTTTCAATTTGTAGACCCTTTTGTTAACTCATAAT